GTCTGCATTTCCGAGGCTCTGGGGGTGCTGCTGCTGGGGTCACAGTTTGATAGTGGGGACTGTAACTGACACCCCACCCCGGTATGAGCTTTCACAAAGGCACGGTGCTCGTGGGCAAGGGGCTCTCGTGAGGAATCATGGGCTCCTGCGTTTACCCGGGCAGAGGTGGGCAGGCAGGGCAGACCATCTTGTGGGGCTAGAGTCAGTCCAGGTCCCTTGCTTCTGTGGTAGAACCACCGGCATGGGCGGTAGGGGTCGGCCACCATCCAGCCCCCTGCCCCAGATGGCCTCTATGATAAGGGAGCTCTCCCACTTCTCAAGCTCAGGGTCCTGCCAGCAAAGTTGTCATGGTACTTTAACCCGAGACCATGGTCTGAATGTCTGTGGCCCCCAGATTCCTGTGTTGGAATCCTTACCCCAAGGGCAACAGTGTCAGGAGGTGGGGCCTCCAGGAGGAGGTGGGGTCTTGGGTGGAGCCTCATATTGGGATTGGTGCCCCATAGCAGAGACCCCTCCCAGGGAGCTCCCTCCTCTCCCCCATGTGAGGAAACAACGGAAGTTGACTGTCCTCAACCAGGAGGTGCGCTGGCACCTCGGTCTTGGACTTGGCCTGTGGTGCTTTCATTGTTACAGCTCCCAAGGACCAGGCAGCCTCTGCAAATGGCGAGGATCAACAGGCTCTTTATTGTGTTGCTACACTGAGTACTGGGCTCCAAAATCACTGCAGATGGTGACTGCAGCCATGAAATTAAAAGATGCTTGCCCCTTGAAAGAAAAGTTATGACCAACGTAGACAGCATATTGAAAAGCAGAGACATTACTTTGCCAACAAAGGTCCATCTAGTCAAGGCTATGGTTTTCTCAGTAGCCATTTATGGATGTGAGAGTTAGACTATACAGAAAGCTGAGTGCCAAAGATTGGATGCTTTTGAACTGTGGTGTTGGAGAAGACTCTTGAGAGTCCCTTGGACTGCAAGGAGATCCAATCAATCCATCCTAAAGGAAATCAGTCCTGAGTATTCATTGGAAGGACTGATGTTGAAGCTGAAGCTCCAATACTTTGGCCACCTGATGTGAAGAACTGACTCATTGGAAAAGACCTTGATGCTGGGAAAGTTTGAGGACAAGAGGAGAAGGGGATGACCGAGGATGAGCTGGTTGGATGGTATCACCGACCCAATGGACATGGGTTTGGGTGGACTCTGGGAGTTGGTAATGGACAGGGAGGGCTGGTGTCCTGCAGTTCATGGGGTTGCAACGAGTTGGACATGACTGAGCGACTGAACTGAACTGAACTGATATGTGTGGAATCTAAAATATGACACAAATGAACTGATCTATGAAACAGAAAGGGAATGTTGGACATAAAGAATAGATTAGTGTGTGCCAATGGGTGGTGGTGGGGAGGGATGGAGTGCGAATTTGGAATTAGTAGATGCAATTATATATATAATAGAATGAATTAACAGCAAGGTCCTACTGTATAGCACAGGGAATTATATAAACCATAATGGAAAAGAATATGAAAAAGAATGTTTATATGTATAACTGAGTCACTGCTGTAGAGCAGAAATTAATACAACTTTGTAAATCAGCTATACTTCAATAAAGCACATTTTAAAATGTGAAATTTCACCCAAAAAGCAAAACTAATACAGCTCCAGGTGGCTGGTGATAAACAAGGCCAGGTGTGCACCCCCCACTCCCCACCCCCACCCCATCCCCCAATTAACCGGCTCCTGCGGAAACCATGCAAGTTTAACTGCCACGGAAAGGCAGTTGGCTCACCTGCTTTAACAGATGAAATGCAGATTCACGGTGAAGTGGTTCCTGGCTTCCTTCCTGTTCGCTGATGGGCCTTGTGAACTGGCATGAAAGCACCTGCCTCCCCAGTTTGCCACTGGAAGTCACCCCCAGTGACCCCCAGCCATCAAGACGTTTGCTGGACGTCACCAGCGTCCAGAGAGCTGAGGCAGGGGCAGGCCTTGTGCTGGGGCCTGGAGCAGTGGTACCCCATGGTCTGGGCCCTGCCCGTGCTCGAATAGCAGCCCAGGTGAGTGGAGCCCCGGCTCCCCTGCCTGGGGGCACTCAGCAGGTAAGCTCTGCCCCCAGCCCCTCCCCCGTGAGCCTGTGACCCAGGCCCTGTCTTTGCCTTCGGCTGGTAGGCCGAGCCGGGAGACTAAGGTCCCTGCCCTGAGGTCAGACCGTGGGGTCCTTGGCCCAGTGTGGACAGCACCTACTCAGGGAGGCTGGCTCAGGACAGGGCAGTTGTAGTCCAGTCATCTCTGGAGAAGCCAGAACCAGGCGCTGGGCACCCACGGTGGACCCACACTCCCCTCTCGTAAGCGCGGGACATGGCCAGCTTACAGAAAGGACTTCCGTCTGAACACAGTCCTGCCTCGAGTTTGATTCAGCTTGGAGAGTTGGGGTTTCCCAGCCTTTTATCACATAACACCTTTTAATGAAGTGGAATGGAAAATTACAAACCAGTGGACTTCGAAAGCGAAGTAATAAGAATAAAGACAGTAATCTCGTTCGTTTTCCAGGGGAACTGGGCTTGGTCATTAGACTGTGTGGAAGTCCCTGTGTGTGAGCCGTCTGTCCGTCTGCCTGCCTCTCTCTCTTTCTGTTTCTCTGGCCCTCTCTCTCTTTCCTCTGAACTCAGAAGCCCCCGCCTGACCCATCGATACTGGACTCAGACTTCCGTTCACCCACTTACCTCTTGGATCTGCTCCCATGGATGTTTTCTGTTGTTTTCTAACAGGTTTATTGGGACACTTGTCGTAAGTAGCCCACGTTTAAAGTGTGCAGCTTGTTAGCTTTTGACATACATACACCGGGAAACTTCACAACTAAGACAGTGAGCACCCTGCCCCTCTTGACACCCCTGCCCCCCCACCATCGCCAAGGCAGTGTGCGTGGAGGTTCAGGGTGAGCTGCTGGCTCAGGGGTGGGCCGTGGCTGCCAGGACCCAGGAGGAAGCAGAGCCTCAGTGACCAGTTCTCAGTCTTGTTAAAACCTCAGGTGAAGATGTGGCCTTAGGACAGACATGTTTTAGGATATGGCCAAGTCCCTGCTCCACCGCGAATTCCTTGTCATCCTGGCCAGGAGCAGACGAGTCTTATCAGCATTTGCAGGTTGAAATGATCTCATCTTACAAAGAAATATTTGGGGTCTACCTTGGAATTACAAGGAGAAAAAAAGCAATCACCCAGATAATTTAGGCAGCAGGTAGGGTTTTATTTTTTGAATTCCACTCTTTCAAGAAAAGAGGGGATTTTTCCACTCCAGGTTTTGGGGAGAGGTAGACAGAAGGGGACTTGGAACCCTGTCCATCCCCAGGACAGGTTTCCTGCCACATTTTTGCTGTAGGTTCTGCCTCTTGGGCATCCCCAGACACAGGCCGAGGGTCCGGATGCCAAAGGACCACTCAGAACACTCCAGCTTCCTTTGTGCAAGAGTCTGCACTCCACCCCAGTGGCTGGCTCCATGACGCCCACAGGTGAGGTCCACAGGTGAGACTGGCTCCTGTGACTCAACCACAAATGTGTGGGGTCACAGTGACCCTCAGGGACGCAGGGTGAAGCTGCTCCAAAGTGATCAGGTCTTACCCTCGCCAGCAAGTCCTGTGTCCAGGGCTCCACTCCGCCCTGGATTAGATGGTTCTTGCTTCAGATTTTCAAAGGCACCACAGGAATCTGTCAGGAAAACAGTCGATTAGTATCGCATCTCTCTTTGCAATCTTGCTTAACAGAGGAAGCCTCCCCTTCCACAGAGGCTCATTCCATGGTTAATACTGACTGTCGAACAGCAGGCTTCGGAAACCCGGAGGAGATCTCTGAGGAAGAGCCTGTGCCCTTCAGAGCAGGCAGACACAACGCCTGTCAGAGGATGGGCCAGTTTTGGACGGAAAATGGAGGAGGAGGAGGAGATGTCTGCTTGCCCAGGATGCAGACACTGTTCTGCGTGTCCATGACACTTCCACCAACACCTAGAAAAGCTCACTTTGTTTACATTAATTCAAACCACATGACATGGCTGATTTCAGCCATTTTCTACCTTCAAACAGGGTCATTTCAAAACAGAAAACATATACAGGTCTGGGGGTGTCCTCCTCCTCCCGCCCCCAGACCCCGGCTTTGAACAAGTATCCATTTAGGTTCTCTGCCCCTTTTTTGTGGGTTGTTCGGTTTTTTGATGTTGCGCTTGCCTGAGCTGCTTGTATGCTTTGGAGACTAATCCCTTTTCAGCCACATCATTTGCAAATATTTTCTTCCATCCTGCTGTTTTCAGTTTATGGTTTCCTTTGCTGTGCAGAAGCTTTTAAGTATAATTGGTCCCATTTATTTGTTTTTGTTTTTATTTTCATTACTCTAGAAGGTGAATCCAAAGAGAATGAAATAATGCCATTTGCAGCAACATCAATGGACTTAGAGATTATCATCTTAAATGAAGGAAGTCAAATAGAGAAAGACAAATATGGTATTACTTATATGCGGAATCTTTTAAAATGATACAAATGAATTTATTTACAAAACAGAAACGGACTCACAGGCACAGAAAACAAACTTATGGTTATCGCAGGGGAAAGCTGGGGGGAGGGAGGACAAATTAGAAACTGTGGGTCAGCAGATGCAACCTACTGAGAGCACAGGGAGCTCTACGCGATGTTCTGTTTTAACCCACATGGGAAAAAACGAGAAAGAATGGGTGTATGTGTGCGTATGACTGCTCACTTTGCTATGCAGCAAAAACTACAAACATCATAACTACAAATCAACTATATTCCAACATAAAATAAAAGTGTTTAAAAAAAGAAAAATGCTACTTACGCCTGGCTGCTTTACTCAGAGCTAATCCTGTACTGCTTGGAGACATTCGCTCACACGTCTTAGGACAAAGGGGGTTTGATGACAGCTGTTTTCTTAAAACCTCAGCCTCCCAGGGGTCCCAGGAGCAGGCCACCGGAGGAGAAAGCGGTGCTAACGCGATCCCGGCAGAAGCCAGGGCGCGGGCACGGTCTCCGCTGCCCTCGGGGCCCGTCGCGTCTCCAGGGGCCACTGGTCGGAAGGCAGCTCATCTTTCCCAGAGCTGAGCTGGTGCCAGGCCCCGGGTCACCGAGCCGGTATAAAAGGGAGGGGCAGACTCAGCCCGGCGCTGGGGACACAGGAGGACGCCTGCCCGCAGGAGCAGCCCGAGCAGCCGGGGAGGACCGCAGAGTAAGCCCCAGGTGATGCGGGTGAGCCCCCCGTGGGCTCGCGTGGGAGCCGGGCCACACACGCATCTTCTGGGGATCTATTTATGTTTGTCCACAGCCTTTCCCACTCAGAATTCTGGAGACCCCCATCCGTGGCCTCCCTGTCCCTGCTTCCCACCCCAGGGCCAACTGTAGTGGGTCTCTGTCCACCACCCGCTGCTTTCTGGTGACCTCTTCTTTCTGTCTGTCTGTCTGTCTGTCTGTCTGCTTGCATTCCTGCCCTGAGAGGACTTGGAAGGCTGCCCTGTGGAGCTGGGCTTCCCTGGGGTGAGAGCTCTGAGACTCCGTGTCTTTGGGAAGCGCCACAGAGAGGAGCAGCCGAGCTCCCCTTAAAGTGCCAGGTTTCCCCAGGTCTGAACGGGCCCAGCACCCACCCCGCTCCTCCCAGAGGACAGGCCCAGCGTGGAGCGGATGCCCCACACACAGTCAGCGCCGCCGTCCGCTCCCATGCCGTCAGCCCAAGTTTTTGCCCATTTAATCACCGGCTTCCCTGACTCTGGAGGACTCGGCCCTTGGGGACAAACTGCTGCATCTCTAAGCCTCTCTGGTCCACAAAGTGGCCACGCTCCCGCCCCCTCAGATCCCACCCTTACGGCCCCCACAGGCTGGCCTCAGCCCTGCCTCTGCAGCTGGAGGCCACAGCGGGAGCAGCGCCCTCATGACCGCACGAGGAGCACTTGGAAGATGCCCCCGGTCCCAGTCCTTGGCCGCCTGGGCCGGGCTCCGGAACCTTCCGGAGCCCCCAGCAGGGCCATGCACCTTGGATGCGGGCTGGGCAAGGTTTCACACACTAAACTTCAAGGGCGGAGGGCTGTCTCGGGAGGCGAAAAGGCCCGCCTGCTTGCTCCCCGAGCCCTGGGACGGCCGGAGTTCCCAGGGCAGCGCAGGGCGCGGGCAGCTGCATGCGAGGCGTGCCCACATCCAGAGACCAAGGGCCTTCACAGTGGAGGCTGGCCTCCTCCTCCTGCAGCGTCCTGGGCCGCAGGCCGGCCTCCACGGGGAGCGGTTCCTCCACCAAGCCCACTCCCTCTGGGCTCAGGCCAGCAGCCCAGCAACGGGAAAAGGCCAGGTGGATGAAGTGGCCCTGCATCCAGGCGGGCCGGGGCTCTGCTCCCCCGGACGTGAACATGCGGGAGCCACTGCCACAGAGGCCCAGGGCCACGCTCGCGTGTGCTGGAGACAGAGGCCCAGGGCCACGCTCGCGTGTGCTGGAGACAGAGGCCCAGGGCCACGCTCGCGTGTGCTGGAGACAGAGGCCCAGGGCCACGCTCGCGTGTGCTGGAGACAGAGGCCCAGGGCCACGCTCGCGTGTGCTGGAGACAGAGGCCCAGGGCCACGCTCGCGTGTGCTGGAGACAGAGGCCCAGGGCCACGCTCGCGTGTGCTGGAGACAGAGGCCCAGGGCCACGCTCGCGTGTGCTGGAGACAGAGGCCCAGGGCCACGCTCGCGTGTGCTGGAGACAGAGGCCCAGGGCCACGCGTGTGTGTGCAGGAGACAGAGGCCCAGGGCCACGCTCGTGTGTGCTGGAGACAGAGGCCCAGGGCCACGCTCGTGTGTGCTGGAGACAGAGGCCCAGGGCCACGCTCGTGTGTGCTGGAGACAGAGGCCCAGGGCCACGCTCGTGTGTGCTGGAGACAGAGGCCCAGGGCCACGCGTCTGTGTGCAGCTGGGCTGTGGTCAGGAGAAAGACTGAGGCCCTGGGTTGGCGGTGGGCAGGCTGTCCATGGCCCATGTTCTCCTTAGGGTCCTCACCATTGGCGGAGGGGATATTGACCCATTTCTTTTTGGGGTGGTCTTTTCTTTTTAGTATCAGGGTGATGCTGACCTCATCATATTATGAATTAAGAAGCATTCCTGCCTCTTTAAATTTTTGGACTAGTTTGAGTCGTATAGGTGTCAGCTCTTCTTTAAATGTTTTGTAGAATTTATCTGTAAAGCCATCTGGCCCTGGACTTTTGTTTGTCAGCAGTTCTTGTGGTTGGTTTGTTTGTTATCACTGCTGATTCCATTTCATTACTGGTAATCAGCCTGATCTAATTCTTCCTGATTCAGTCTTGGGAGATTGTATGTTATTAATACTAGGAATTTACCCATTTCTTCTAGCCTATCCATTTTATTGGTGCATAGCTATTCATAGTAATCTCCTCTGATCACTTTTATCTCTATGGTGTCAGTTATAACTTCTCCTGTTTCACTTTTGAAATTATTTATTTGAGTCTTCTTTTTCTTGATGAATCTGGATAAAGGTTTATCAATTTTGTTTATCCTTTCAAAAAACCAACTCATAGCTTCGTTGCTTCTTTGTCTACTGTGTCTTTTGGGCAGTCTCTTTTCACTGACTTCCACTCTCTCTGATTGTTCTCATTTCTTTCCTTCTAATAATCCTGGGTTCTCTTTGCTCTTCTTTCTCTAATTCTGTAAGCATGAGGCTTGGTTGGCTGTTCGAGGCTGTCCTCGCTTCCTGAGGCAGACTTGTGTCCCTGTAACCACATTGACTGTGGATTGCTGTGCTTCCATTTTTATTTGTCTCCAGGTATTGTTTTTATTTCCTTTCTATTTCTTCTGTGATACACTGGTTGTTTTGGAGCATGTTGTTCAGACTTTATATGTTTGTTGGTTTTGCAGTATTTTTTTAATTGATTTCTAGTCTCATAATGTTATAGTCTGAAAAGATGTTTGATATGATTTCAATCTTCTTAAAATTATTGAGATTTCTTTTATGGCTTGGAGAATACTCCATGTGCACTTGAAAAGAATGTATATTCTGCTGCTTTCAGATAAGAATATATGTATGCATGTATAAATATATATGTAAGTTATGGTTTTTCCAGTGGTCGTGTATGGATGTGAGAGTTGAACTGTAAAGAAAGCTGAGCACTGAAGGATTGATGCTTTTGAACTGTGATGTTGGAGAAGACTCTTGAGAGTCCCCTGGACTGCAAGGAGAGCCAACCAGTCCATCCGAAAGGAAATCAGTCCTGAATAGTCATTGGAAGGACTGATGTTGAAGCTGAAGCTCCAATACTTTGGCTACCTGATGTGAAGAGCTGACTCATCAGAAAATACCCTGATGCTGGGAAAGACTAAAGGCAGGAGGAGAAGGGGATGACAGGGGATAAGATGGTTGGATGGCATCACTGACTCAATGGACATGAGTCTGAGCAAGCTCTGGGTGATAGTAAAGGACAGGGAAGCCTGGCATGCTGCAGTCCATGGGGTCACAAAGAGTTGGACATGACTGGGCAACTGAAAAACAACATGCATGCGTGTATCCATTAAGTCTATCTGGCTTAATGGTTAGTTTTTTTTTTTAATGGATAGTTTAAGGCCAGTGTTTTCTTACTGATTTTCTATCTAGATGATCCATCCCTTTGATATGTTAGGTGTTCAAGTCTTCACTATTATTGTGTTACTGTCAATCAATTTCTCCCTTTATGGTTAATATTTACTTTATGTATTTAGGTGCTTCTATGTTGGGTGCAAACATATTTACAATTGTTATAAGTTCTTAGTGGACTGACACCTTCATCATGTAATATTTTTTTATATCTTGTTGCAGTTTTTGTTTTAAAGTCTATTTTGTCTGATGTAAGTAGATTTCCTTTCATTTCCATCTTCACAGAATACCTTTTCCCATCCCCTCACCTTAAGTCTGTGAGTGTCTTTATAGCGGAAGTGAGCATCTGGTAGGCAGCATACATAGGTCTTATTTTTCCACTCATTCAGCCACTCTATGTCTGGAGCATTTAGTTCATTGACATTTAAAGTGATTATTGATAGGTATGTGCTTATTGCCATTTTGTTAGTTGTTTTCCAATAGCTTTTGCAGTTCTTTTTGCTTCTTCTTCTTTTGCTTCCTTCCCTTGTGACCTGATGGCTATTTAATGTCACGTTTGAATTCCTTTCTCTTTGTGTGTGTCTGTTACAGGCTTTTGATTTGTGGTTATTATGAGGTTCATATATAACAACCTATAGAAATACATGATTACTTAATTTGATGACCTCAAGTTCAAATGCATTCTAACAACCCTACATTATGACCCCACACACACATGTTTAGTTTGCTGATGTCACATATTACACCTTCACCACTTATTATGGACATAGATGATTTTAATGCTTTTGTCTTTAAACCTTCCTACTAGATTTATAACTTGCTAATCTATTACTTTTACTCGATGTTTGCCTTTACCAGTGAGATTTTTTTCTCTCTCTCCCACAGTTTTCGTGGAGAAGTCCCTTTAACATTTCTTGTGAGGCCAGTTTAGTGGTGCTGAACTCTTTAGGCTTTTGTTCATCTGTAAAGATTTTCTCTCCCCTTCACATCTGAGCGATGGCCTTGCCGGTTAGAGTAGTCTTGGTTGTAGGCTCCGTTTCATCACTTAGTACATATAGCACCGCTTCTTTCTGGCGAAGTTTCTGCTGAAAGGTCAGCTAATGGCCTTATGGACAATTCCTTGTAGGTGACTAGCTGCTTTTAAGATTCTATCTTTATCTTTAGTTTGGCCACTTTAATGTGTTGATGCCAGCCTCTTTCAGTTGTTCTTGTTTAGGGCTCTCTGTGCTTCCTGGACCTGGGGGTCCTTTTCCTTTCCCAAGTCAGGAAAGTCTTCAGCAACTATTTCTCCAAAGAAGTTATCTGCTCCTTTTCCCCTCTTTTCTCATTCTGGGACCCCTATATGTGAGGTTGTTATAGAAGTCTCTTAAACTAGCCTCATTTTTTACTCCTTTTTTCTTTTTTCTGTTCAGCTCCAATGATTTCACCACTCCATCTTCCAGATCATAGACCCCTTCCTCTGCACGATCTAATCTACTGTTGATTCCTTCTAGTGTTGATGCTTTTTTTCAGCAAATGTTTTCTTCAGCTCTGTTTGGCTCCTCTTTACATTATCTCTCTGTTGAAATTCTCACTGTGTTTATCCTTACTCTGAGCCCATGAGCATCTTTCTCGGTGTAACCATGAACTCCCTATGAGGTAGGTGGCTGATCCTCACTGTGTTTAGTTCTTTTCCTGAGGTGCTCTGCGTCCTGCTTTCACCTAACTCTCTGTGTTCGTTTCTCTGTGTTGGGATATTTGGTTACTCTTCCCAGTCTTGGATGAGTGGCCTTAGGTGAGAGATGTCCTTGGGGGCCCATGGCATGCCCCGTCTGGTCTCCAGAGCTCCATGCTGCAGAAGGGCCCCTCTATGGGCCGCATGGACCCTTCTGTCGTGGGGGGCTGACTGCAGCAGACCCCCTTAAGGGCAGGGCAGGCCTCCTGAGCAGTGAGCTGTGTGGCCCCTGTGGGGCAGGACAGCAGACAGCCCACTGGAAGCCAGGGCCAGCCCCCCACGTGGCTGACTTTCAACCGGCAGGCATTCAGGGGGGATCAAGAGCAGCCGAGTGTGGGGCTGGGGGGAGCCCCCAGGGCTGACGCTGGCCCCCTGGTGGCTCGGGCTGGACCCTGGTCTTGCTTGCAGGCAGGGCTAAGTCCCCATGCGCGTGGTGCCCAGCCAGTGGTGGGCAGGAGAGGACTGGTGCTGACAGCTCGTGCTGGCTAAGCCGCTGGCATCAGAGGCTAGGACGAGGGCTCCAACGCAGTGCCGGCCAGCGCCGGTGTCCACATGGCAGAATAAGCCTCCCACGGGGGCTGCTGCCAGCACCTGTGCCCCAAGGCTCTCCGCGGGGCCCCCACCTCCCCAGAGGCACCCCAGGATCAGCAGGGGCGTCTGACCCCGGCTCCTGCAGACTGCCACCCCGCCCCGGGTCTCCCCAGCCTGGACAAGCAGAGTCTGTTCCCGCAGCCCTCCGGCTCTCCTGAAAGGAAGCCAGACATTCTGGGAGCTCGTCTTCCTGGTGCAGGAACCCCAAGCTGAGGAGCTCGACGTGGGGCTCAGACTTTCCTGCTCCTTGGGGGAAACCTCTGCAATTGTGAAATCCATCCCACTGGTGAGTTGCAGGCCATAGGGTACAGGTCTCCACATACTGTGTCCCCACCGCTGCTGTCTGTCTGGCTGTGGGTCCTCCGTTATGTCTTTAGTCCTGGGGGCCCCTTTCTGCTAGTTTTCTGGCTGTTCTCGTTGATGTCGCTCTGAAATGGTTGTCACTCTGAATGTCTGTGGGAGGAGGTGAATTCAGGGTCCTCCTTCTCCACCATCTGCCCCCCTAGCACCGCTAGTTTCAGAGCTGTTGCTGCCGCCTCCCACGGATCTCACTCACTGCCTTACTTGTTCTGTGAGTACACGTGCATGGCCTCCAGCCTCCTGCAAGGACATGGGGGCCCCAGGGCCCTGCCAGGCGGTCCGGAGGAGTGGGGTCCTCACAGTGCAGACCTGATGGCGGAGCAGGGCTCACCCCTGGGGACTCAGAAGGGGCCACCCCCAGGCCGAGGAGGGTGGCCGCATGGAGTCCGTGAGTGAGGAGGGGTCTTCCCTGGGGCCCAGGGCATCCTGCACTTTCACTGTCACAGTGGAGCCTGCCCCAGCTGGGCTGCTTTTGCCCGCCAAATCCAGCCTGTCCCCCACCGCCTCCCCAGCATGTCGGGATGGCCGCCCTCCCAGCCCTGCCGGCTCCACCCCCTGCCCTTCTCGCCTGCGAATGTCTCCCTGCTCCTCCATCACACCCCAGCAGGTGCAGGCTTGGGCTCGGCATGCTGGGGTTAGTCACATGCCTCGCAAACCCTGATCCAGCAAGCCGGCAGCTCCGAAGACTTAGAGCTGTTTCTAACGGATCTACTGCCAGGCTGTGGCTTCTTCTTTAGTTTTCACAAGCCCCCTGTGCCTGAGCGTGGAGGGCTGGTCTCCCGAGTGCCCTTGGACCCCAAAGTGGGTGGCGGGTCGTTTCCCTCTCTTGTGGTTCCCGCGCCAGCACCCCCTGCTCCTGCCCTGCACCCTGGCCCACACGTCACAGGGAACTCAGCCCCTACCTGCTTCCACAGGAAGATCTGCAGGCCTTAAGCCAGCCTCCCCTGGCTTCCATTGTGCACCACGTGGGCCTGGGCTGGTCTTCCTCCAGGACTCGTGGCCTTCAGATTCCCAGCTCCGGCTGCAGCTGCTCACAGCTGTGCCCATGGCCAGCCCTGTGTCCCAAGGCTCGGCCAGTGTCCAGGCCCCAGCGGTGGCTCCCCGGCGCTCACACCCACACACCACATGCAGCATGCAACACACACGGGAGCTCCTTTCACACCCCAGGCTGCAAGGGCATGGTGCTGAAACCCGACCCTGTGCTCTGAGACCACTGGGGGCTCAGGGAGGCTCTTCTGCACAGGGGCTCCACTGGTCTCCATGTCCGTGGCCTCAGTCCCACATGTGGCCCGGCCCTTGGCCTCGAGGACCCGGGCACTTACAAAGCTCAGCTCAGCCAGCACCCTGCCCAGACGCAGAGGCACGACCTACCGGCCCAGAGGACCAGATGCCAGGCATCCTGTGCCCACAGCTTCTGACAAAGGTCCCAGATTGCGCATCTCACCATCTTCCCACCAAACACAGCTTCAGGCCTTCTCTAAGCAAAGTCACCTCTCCATCCCTTCAGACAAGATCATCTGGCTTGTGGGTCTAAGCCCGGGGTGAGGGTTTACTTCTGGCCTCTGAGAAACCCTGTGACAAACAGCAGCAGGTTCAGCGGGGTCAGGGTCCTGCTGGGAGGCGGATTCTCCTAGCTACGCTAACCGTGGGCACCACACAACCCACTCCACAGTCGCCAGCTCAGGACAAACACCTGTGCCTGAGGCTGAATTCTCAAAGCCGAGTCTGACCAGCTAAGGGGGTGGAAGCCCAGACGTGGCCTCAGAGCTGAGCTGTAGAGGCGGGCCTCACTAGGCCCCTTCACGATGCGGTTAGAAGCCGTGTGGACGGAGTAGCAGTGGGGGGGCTTCGTCCACTGCTGCCCCCGACCTGCTCTGCTGGGACAGAGCTGGTTGCTCCTGCAGTTCCCACGGTCGGAGTTTTTAACAACAGCCAATTCCAGGTGAAAAACCTTGCATTCTGTCCCCGGAATCTTACCTTGATCTCAGTTCCTAAATATGCCAGGGGTGCCTTTGGAATGACCTCGGCTGGTCTCAGGGGTCCACGGGGAGGTCTGGAATCCACTATGAGGCTTCTCTTGGCCCAGTGTCCACCTTGCATCCTGAAATGAGGGGTCTTAATACAAAACAAGTGATACAGTAATGCCAGGAGATAAGCCTGTGACTGCGTTGGACACTCTGTCCCTCAAGGTCCCCAGGGGAGGGTGGCAGGGTCAGAGGGAGCCATGGTTTCTGTGGGAAGGCCCAGGGGAGGCAGGCGGAGGATGCACAGGCCTGTGGGATTCCAGGGGTCCCGAGGTGCAGGGCCATCCCTGGCTGTCCGGCACCCCACCCTGGGTGCAGAGGGCAGGTGGATCTTGGCCCAGAGAGTGGGTTCCCCCGAAGAGGGGGTGAGGGTCCTGCATTGCTTAGTGGATCTGCACCAGGAGGCCCAGACCCAGCACTAGGGCATCAGAACAAGGCATGTGGGGGCGGGTGTGCAGGGCGGACACCAGGACCTCAAGTTCACAGACGCTGGAGACACGGTGAGCACAGTGACGAGCTGGGAGGCACCACACGCTGGCAACAGAAGGTGACGCTTGCCATCCTGGAGGCGGAACCCGGGACCCAGGTGTGGGCAGGGTGGCTTCCCTTGAGGCCTCACCCATTGGCAGGTCCCAGGTCCTCGCGGGGCGTCCCGCTGTGGTCTGTGTCCTGACCGCCTCTCCTATCAGGACACCAGTCCTACGGATCAGGCCCCTGGTGACCTCATTTAGCCTCAGTCACTTCCATCACGCTCCGTCGTCCTGGGGCCGGATGCACAGCTTAGCCCAGAGCTCGGGGCTCAGGCAGGGTGGCCACTGTGTGAGCACCACACACCCGCCAGCCAGCTCCACCTGGGATCACCCACACAAGAAGCAGAGAAGAGTCGCTGTCACTTAAGTTTCCAAACGCCCAAGGGCCCCAAATGGGATTTACCACCTGCTGCTACATCCCCTAATCCAGGAAACCAGTCCAGAAGGTTCAAGGCCACTGGTCATGAATGCGCTGTGAGCGGCTGACAGTCTGACCCCCCAGGAAGGTGCAAGGGGGCAAGGGAGACGTCTGGGGTGGAGCCGCCTTCTTATCAGTAAGGGGCTGCTTTCATGAGCTCTCAAGCCAGCAAAGCACAGCATGACAGGTCTGCACATTCTCCTTTATCCAGAACATGAGCAAAAGCTACACCATGAGGTACCATGGAAGGGTAACCTACGATGCTGACGTGCTAAAGATGTTTTGGGAGAAAAAAATCAAGCTTCACATGGAACTACTGCAGAAGGAGGACATGAGGATCCGTGGGAGCGCCCTGGACAGGTGAGCTCGGTGCCAGCAAACTGAGGGCAGAGAAACACAGCTGTGCCAGGGCCACCAGCCTTCAGGATGCAGGTGTGCACAGATCTTGCCACCCACTTCCTACCCCGGACCAGTGTCAGCTGAGGGGTGCGCATGAAGCACTGAACATCAGCCATGCTGACTCAGCTTCAGAAATACATCACTGAGTCCCCAGTGGGAGAGAGAACCATCCCACCCCTCCATCTCCCCATCCCTCCATCACCTCATCCCTCCGTCACCCCATCCCTTCATCCCCACTCTCCTGAGGGTCCTGTGAGAAGTTGCTCTGCAGGGTTCCTCTGATTTAATCTGTTTTTCTGACAGTTGCTCCCACTGGGTGCAGGATCAATCAGCAAGTCCATCTTGCTCCTTGTCACATATGTGCTCAATTTACAGACTCAAAGCCGAGTCCACTTTCTTTCTGAGTGGATGCCAGGGGCCTGCGGGTGCTGAGGGGTGTGTCCTAGGTGACCCTGAGCAGTGGACAGTTAAGAAGGAATGTTAGCACATAATTTGCACCAAGACAAAGACTCAGATGGCCAGAAACTTCCAAAGTGGCCCCAACCTTAGTCCCCAAATAGCACCAGCAGCTGCTGCCCTGGGAGCTGGGCTGGAAAGGCGGATTCCTGGCGACTGCAGAGGGCTCAGCCTTGGTGCTGACCTTGCCAGTGGCCAGAGGTCTGGTTGCCATGCTGCCCCCTCCCCCCCGCTTCATCCAGTGCTTCTGGCCACTCAGCACAGGTATGGAGCTGTGGCACCTCCTGTCCACACCGTGTGGCCCCCCAGAGCTGGTCACTGTGCTCACCTGGCCTCCTGGGGTGGAGGTCCTGGCACAGAACCCTCATCTGAAGGGCTCCTGGCCCAGGATCCCTGCTGGGTCTCCATGGCCTCCTCCCTGTCCTTCGGGTACCATCAGGCCCTGGACATTCTGGGTCTCAGCCCACGGGGCAAGGTCCCAGGAGCAGGCTGCTGGTCAGCACTGCCCCGCCGGTCACTGAGGCCCTGGCGAGGCTGACAGCCTCACATGTCAGAGGAGACGTGTTGGTGAAGGGGCCTCAGCCCGCCCCCCAGCCCCACCCCTGGACGGTGGCAGCTCCGCCCTCGCCCCCAGGCCCTCTGGGCTGTCCCAGCCTCTCCTCTCCGCCAGCCCGGGGAGGCGCCTGCCTCCCTGGCCCCGGGACAGCGCCTGTGTGGGCGCTTCCCACCAATTTGCCCTGCAGCCCCGGAGGTCTGTCCAGGCCAGGCTCCCATCCCACCCGCTCCCTCCAACCCAAACTCCGTGCTCACATGGGGCCCAAGGCATGTTTAGTCTAGCGGGCCTGACCCCCCGGGCCGGGCCTGTCTCCCCCCGGTCACCACTGGGTGTCGTGCTGTAGTCCCCACCACAGGCCCCTGTCCCGGGAAGCAAGCGCCTGAGGGCCCGCGTGGGGGTGCTGGGTGGGACAGGCCGACCAGAGCGCTGCGTCCCAACCTCTGGTCCTGCAGTGACCAGCCTGTCCCCAGCCACCTTCCCCTCTGGGAGGAGCCCACGGGGCCCTTCCTGGCGGGCAGGCGGGGCTCTCGGAGACGGGCGGGCCGCGGGCAGCCCAGTGTGCCGGGTCCTCACTAAGCCCAAACGGCTGCCCCCAGGCTCCGCGGCGAGTGGGCTCGGCAGCTGGAGAGGAGGAATCAGATGCTGCAGACCTCCCAGGAGGCGCCCCCGCGGCCAGCCCCGCCCTGCACCCCCACCCTGGGCGCCGGCGACCATCCAGCGGCCTGAGAGCGGCAGCGCCCCGCTGCCCCGCGCCGCCCTTGCGGCAGCCCAGCCCCCGCGTGGTTTTGTGTCTCTAGCGCGATGTAAGCACCCAATAAAATCTCAGATGAGTGGATGTTTTGTGCGCATTTTTCTTCATATCTGTAAAATGTACACACACTAAAAGTGAACCTGATGCCAGTAACACAGCAAGTTAGAAACTGCGGGGATGTGGGGACTTGGGCAAATTTAAACACCATTTAATTCACCTTTGATCAAAACGTCTGCAAAAGCTCAGCCTAAGGACAGTGCCTGATGTGAAGCTGTGGAAAGCCGTGTGTTCCCCAAATCCCTTTAAAGTCCTCACTCACCACCACATCATCTCAGGAAGCTGTGCAGCCTCATGCTCACTTGGGTTTGGGGGCCCAGTCTCCGGAGGCTGCAGAGGCTGATAGGGCTGGGACTCAGTGTTTCGGTCCCACCCCTGCCCCGTCCCCCCAGCGGGGGCTGTGACCTCCCCGGGTCCCCAGGGGAGCAGGGCTTTGAGCCCGCAACAGAGGCCGGGCTGAGACAGAAGGGCCTGGAGCGAGCCGGATGCCCGCCAAGGGCTGTGCCCCCTCCACAGTGGGAACCACCACGGTGCCTCGCTGGCAGGGCGGGACTGCTGGGATGGGACTGGGGCCCGGCTGTGTCGTCTCTGCAGATTGTGTAACGTAGAGGACGGATCGGACTCCACCTTGGGTCTTTAACCTTTGTGTTCCGGCGCCTTCGCTATGAGTTAGCAATGTTGGCTGTGGCTTGAAATACACAGATCAGCACGTTCTCAAGGCTCAGATCTTTACAGGCGTAACACTTTCTGATTCATACAGAGATAAAGAGTTGCAGACCAGAGAATAACATTTTCCCACTGGAGATTTACAGGAACATCGTGACCTGACCTACGTGGACAGCTGCGAGAACAAAGGATTCCCATAGCAAGAAGTTCACCACAAACAGCCAAACCCCGTCCCCCTTTCAGTATAAAAGGAGCCTGAATTCTAAGTCGGCCAAGATGGCTCTTCGGGACACTGGTCTGCCATTGTCTCCAACTGCTGGCTTTCTGAATAAAGTCACTATTCTGTGCCACAACTCATCTCCCCTTTTATTGGGCTATTGTGCGGCAAGCAGCACAGGTTTGGACTCCATAACAGTTGGGTTTGGGTTCTGTTTTGTTCTGACCCCCGATCCAGTTGGCAAGGAGGGCAAGGGGTTCTCAGAGCTTCTCAAGAGGCTTAACCAAAGGAAAAAAATGCCAATACAAATGGCCACATGACATCCAGGGCATTTTCAGAGGTGTCCACAGTAGACTGGACCACAAGCGAATATCCAGCAGAAAAGGTCCAGAAGCTGACACAAAACTTGAGTCCTGGACTTGCCAAATGGCCCAGTGGAGAGGACTCAGCGAAGGTCCGGTGCAACACCAACCTGCAAACACACGTTCTTGGGTCACCCTGCAAGCTGTCCATCAGAGCTCCTGACCCAGGACATTCCACTGATGAACACTCAGGGAATGTGGTGATTAATAGCCCTAAAAATAGCTGGAGAATAGAAGTCCGTCACTAAGACTTGAAAAGCCCCAAGCTGCTGCAGGGTAATTTCATCTGATGATGCTGTCAACACGGATAAACAGAGACGTCTGTTTGGACCGTCTAGGGGACGGCGTGTTGGTGCGGAACCCCGTCCTCAGGGCCTGCCATGCTGCGGTCACCCGCTGACCTTCCTCCTCGTGACAGAAGCCAGGGTGGCGTGGAGACAGGGCTCTTCAACAGCCACAGCTTCTCCGTCACTGATCTTTGTCTGGGCAAAGCTGAGCTACGCCCGGAGACCAGAGGGTGCTTCATGCAGGGCAGGACCGAGGAATGGGGCGGGGCCCCACCTGGGCACTCAGGACCGAGCCCTCCTCACGCCCTGCCCTTTTGCAATTTTCCCTGTGTGCAGAGCATATTTAGGGGCTGGATTTCAATTAGCTACTCTTTTTCTTCTGGAGGAGATTTTGAGACACAAGAGAAATGGGGCAATGCCCGGAGGAGACAGAGAGCAAGTCTCTTCCATCCACAAGGCCTGGCCCTCCCCCAGGCCCCGGGGCGATGGAGGAAGGCCATGCGGCCCAAGCGCTCGGTGTCCCCTCGGGCTGCCTGGACCCCGGGGGCGGCCCAGAGTCAGGGCTCGTCTGCTGTCGTGTGGGTGCCGACGTCGGCTGCAGGGGGGTCTGTGCAGCTCCTGCCGCCCTCGGGGAGCCGGGCGCCTGCACTGGGCCGTCAGCTCTCCCGAAAGCGGCATCGCTGCTCAGCTCTGACTTATCGGAACACAACGGGACAGCGCCCCCTAGCTAACTGAGCTTTGCTCTGCTAAACCACGGACAGGTTTGCCGGATTCAACGATGGTGAGCAGAACCGCACAGTCTGTGTAGTCACCACGGCCCCAAGTCCACGGCTGGTGGTCCTCCAGAGCCGAGTTGGGTTGGGGAGTAAGGGACCGCCAGGCAGAGCCCCGGGGGCCGGGCCTCCCTCCGCAGGGCTGGTCCTCGTCCCTGGGTTTGGTCCTCACCCCTGGGCTCCTTGCCCAGCCTGTGGGGTCTTAGAGCATTCCCCGTTCTGGCAGGACCACAACCCTCAGCCCAGAAACCCCCTGACGCCTCGGTCATGTTTCTACAACTCCCTCTCAGTAGAACACGAGAGGGTCTTGCTGCCGCATGAGTTACAAAGAAAACTCGTGCTTTTCAGAGCTGTTTGGGCCTGGGAATGCAGGAGAGGGTTTGAGGGGCTGCCGACCTGGGAAGCAAAGCACTCACACGGAGCTGGCCTTTGACTTTTAGATCCCTGGGTGGCACCCTGGGGGCTTCCTGGAGGAGGGTCCCCTGGATGGGTTGGTGATGCTGGGACCTGGCAAACCAAGAGCAGGGCCAGTTACAGGAGGAAGGCCTCCTAGAGGTGGCCAGCTGCATCCCGTGTCTCTTCCCTCAGCATCCATCTTTAACAATAAGAGTATTTCCCAGCCTAGTCAAAATTAAGTTACTATACTTATGAGAAAAGTATAAAGACTCTTGAAAACCAGCTAATGCCAAGTCCCTTTTTGACTGTCCCCGGTTCTTGGGACAGCAGGTTTGTGTGAATGAGACTCACATCAAACAGGTCCCCTCCCATGGCTCTCGGGAAAACCAGCGCCCTGGGGACTGTCCCTGTCCCAACCGCCCTCACTGGGCTGCTCACTCATCACTTCCAGCAGCTGATACTGGGGACTCTCTAATCTGTCACCCCTTCCATGCTCATTAGACAGTTTCCCTTTTTCAAGTGGGTCTTCCTCATGACTGGAGTGATTTACTTACACTGACTCGAGTGGAGCAGAAAGCAAGGCAGTGTTTCATGGTCCCTTTGAAACCAATCATCAAAAGAAAGAGTTGGTTTAATTTCTGCACTGTATCCCTTCTCATGCTTTCTCTTGTTTGAGTATCACCACGGATTCGTGGATTTAAATAAACTGGATGCAGTCAATCAACTCTGAGCATCACTCTTCCCAATGCTCAAATTCTCACAGGTCTGACCAGTGAGATCCTTTTCAAACTGGCTTCTTTTTGATGGAACTCCATTAATCTTTGAAATGTCCCTTGCTTTCTGGAACAGCAAAGAGTACTAAACTGGTATTCACCATAGCTGCCCCAGAACAGAAAATGAATAAACAAATCATGGTACCTCCAATAGTAAAATAATAGAAACAAACAGGAGCAAACGGTTCACACGTGTACCAATGCGGGTCAACCTCGAAAACAGCAGGTGTGGTGAAAGGAGGCAGGGATGTGACGAAGACGTGCCCATGCTGCAGGTGACATGGGCAACATCCCAGAAGGGGTACAGCCCTTCCTTGCAGAAGTGGGACCCTGGTCCCCTCTGGGCAGGGAACCAGCGCCAAGGAGCCTGGGGGCCACATGGGGTGGGGACACCCCCGGTCTTGTTTGGGTGGAGGTTACACAACACAGTCCTCAGCTGGGCTCTGGGGGCATGCACTTTACTGAACAGGAATTTCATCCCAATAGAAAAGGCTTAGGGCAGGGAGACAGCCCATCTGAGGGGGCACGCTGCCGCCAGGGAGGCACGTGCTGGGTCCTGGTGGAGGCAAGGGACTTCTCCCACCCAGGGTTCTGGGCTTCCCGGTCTCGAGTGTTGTCCACTGGGATCTGCTGTCCCTCTCCTCCCTGGGAGACCCTGACCCACACCTGGGACAGCTGGGTGGCCCATGGGCCCCCCCACCCAGGCCAGAGAGGGAGGTCGGCCTCGGACTGATGGGGCCCCATCCAGCCACCAGGGCAGCCACAAACCCACGTGTTCCCCCCCGCCCCCCACCAGCACTCCCTCTGGGACCCCAGCCCAGGGCAAGCCCTTGTGGGGCCCCTGCTCCTGGGAGGAAATGGGTCCCAGGGCCTTGGCAGCAGGCCCCAGGGGCAGACGGGGGGCCATCAGAGTGGGGTGCAGGGTGCTTGCCAGGGGGCCCAAGAAGGCAAGAGGTCAGCAGGACTGGGCAGGGGAGACATGGGGCCTCGGCCAGGACCCTAGAGGCATCTGTGGACACAGCCGGGTGAGCAAGGGGCCAGGACCCACCCTTGTGCAGAGGACAGGCCCAGCCCAGGATGAGAATCTGAGAGGGACAATGAGGGGGCAGCCCCACCCTGGCCCCACCCAGGGAGCAGTGCATGACAGGGCTGGGCTGCAGCGCAGTGGTCCCCGCCGAGAGAAGGCCATGTGAGCAGGATGAACTTAAACCCAGTCTAGGACACCACCCAGCGCTGTAAGCAGACTTTTCTTCTCCTGGGGAGACAGAGACTTTGTGCAGAATGCTCAGGGCCACCTGAGCTGTACCGTGGTCATTGGGACGATGTCCCCCTCAGTGTCCACGTCCTGATCCCAGAACCTGTGAGCATGTGACCTTCATACCCAGCAACTTCTCAGAGGGAGTTAAGTTAGGGGTTTTGAAATAGGGCATCATTCCGGAAGGACCAGCGTCAGCACATGGGTCCTTGTAGGAGGGGGCAGCTGACTGGCTCAGAAGGCCTGCACCCGTGTGCACCGCAGCATCATTCACAAAACAGCAAAGGGCCTGTAGATGCACGGATGGGTAGAGAAGACGTGGTGTATATACGTACACAACTCTTCAGCCATGAGAAGGAAATCCTGCCATTTGTGATGACAGGGCTGGACCTTGACAACATTAAACTGAAATAAGCCAGACAGAGGAGGAGATGGTTGGATGGCATCACTGACTCAATGGACATGAGTTTGAGCAAACTCCAGGAGATGGTGAAGAGGGGGGAGGCCGGGAGTGTTGCCGTCCATGTGGTCACAAAGAGTCGGACACAACTGAGCGACTGAACAACTACAACAAAGCCAGACAGAGAAAGACAGAAGCCCTAGGACCTCACTGATGTGTGGAGTAGAGTGGAAAATGATACAGAGAGTCAATGGTGTTACCAGCTGCTGGGAGGGGCAGGGGGAGCAGGGACATGTGGGTCAAGGATACAAATTCCGGCTCTAAGTTCAGAACCTCTGGGACTGATGCCCAGGCTGGGGACTCTAGTTACAGGACTGCACCGTGTGCTTGGAAGCAGTGGAGAAAGTGGGTCTTAAATGTTATTCACCCCCCACACACACACACAAAAGGTACCTATATGAGGTGATGAAGATGGTAGCTAACCTTATCATGGAATCTTTTCATGACATGTACATGCATCAAATCACCACTGTACGTTTACACAGCCTGTTATATTGATTATATCTCAATATAGCTGGGAAAAGCTGGGAAGTGAAAGGTCGCAACTGTGAGCCGTGAGCTGAGCCAGGACTGGCAACCTCCGGAGGAGACGGCTTGGATCTGGAGCCAGAGACAAGGCTTAATAACTCGGAGCTTTTGTGTAGCAGAGTTTTATTGAAGCATAAAAGAGACAGAGAAAGTTTTTGAGATTTAGACATCAGAAGGGGACAGAAAGAGTGCCCCCTTGCTAGTTTTTAGCAAGGCATTTTATACATGCTAGCAAGCTGCTAGTCAGATAAATCAAACACCTCAAGACTGAAACAGTTGCCCCAGGTCCCTCTGCCACAGCATGCATTTTGAGCTAGAATGGCACAAGGGGAGTCATCTTCGGCCATAAAACAATTGACATGAATCTTGAAGAAAGGCAGATTTCCAACAGATACATAGTTTCATTAACATAGTTTAAGAAAACATTTCCAGGAGTGTAAGACGCACTGGCTTGCTGACCCACTATCAACTCAAGGTTTGAGAAAAAGGTTAGTCTTAGGGAGAACAGATTTGAAGAAAGGCAGATTCCAAAGCAAATACATAGTTTCATTAACATAGCTTAGGCTCAGACAGTAAAGCATCTACCTGCAATGTAGGAGACCTGGGTTCGATCCCTGGGTCAGGAAGATCCCCTGGAGAAGGAAATGGCAACCCACTCCAGTATTCTTGCCTGGGAAATTCCACAGACAGAGGAACCTGGCAGGGTACAGTCCGTGGGGTCACAGAGTCAGACACAACTGAACAACTAACACACACACAAGAAAAATGCATCGGTTTACTGAGGCAGGAGCAGCGCAAAGTTAAGTTCAAGCAGAACTAAGTGTGGTCATGGAAACACAGAATTAAAAGAAGCCTCCTTTAATTCTGTATAGAGGAGGGAAAGAAAAAAGTCTTCCACTTGCAGTTTATTTCCTCCTGCTGCTTGAGACCTCTGGCCTTTCTACCTGACTATTAACCCTCTCAGAGGCAGGAAGGTCAGAGTCAGAGAAGATGAGAGGTGGAAACAGCAGAGGGACCACAGCAAGGGGTTCACAGCCCCTGGAATCTGGACACGGCCCTGAGGCACCTCAGTTTCAGCTGGAGACCCGCTCCAGAGCTGGAAGGAAGTTCATCTGAGCTGCTTAAAGTGTCTAAGTTTGTGATGGTTACAGAAACAGCTGTACCAACTAGTCGTACCCTCTGTAGCCTCAGGTGGGGAAACTGGTTAGAACCCAGGGTGGAAATGGCCGGGAGAGAACTTCCTGAATGTGGCTGCTGAGGCCGCCAGGGTCAGGGGAGGCCCAGGCGTGAAGCCGGGAGGGTGGGGGCGGGGTGGGTGTCGCCCACCTGGATGGTCACCGTGGGCGGCTGAGCGGGGCCATGGGGCCGCCCGTAGGTCCACATGCCTGCCAAGGACATGGGGGAGGCAGCACCGGTCTGATTCAGTTCCTGGACACCCCTCCCTGGAGGCCGCAGGCTGCAGGCGCATCAGTGGCGGCAAGGCCTGTGTCACACAGACTTCACCCTTCACAGGCAATCGATCAGAAGCATATCTGAGAAAACCCCTGGGC